GTGTGCGTGTTGGTCATGGCTGGAAGGTGTCATGGTTTTCGTGGAACTCGACGTGACAGCAAGTTGATGAAACATCACCGTTGTCATCATCCCCAGCAGCAACGAACAGCAAACAGCAAACAGCAATGGCAAACAGCAACAACCTCGTCCATGACTCACTTCGTTGAGAACGCGGTGGGTGCTAGCAAACGTGTGTGGTGCCTGCGATACCAAAAACGCAAGTGCTTCCCGCTCTCCATAACGCAGATGATTCTTATACTTGACTCCATCCTCCGACACATATGCTCGATCTGCACAGCGTGCAGCGGAAACAAAACAAGCAAACACGCATGAGATTCATGTCGAACTCACCAATGAGCAACAGGTGACAGCAGGAAGTTAGCAACGAGGTAGGGAGCCACTACACACACCCACACACGCATACACACATACACACAGCACATGCACGCATACACACACACATGCACGCACACACACAAAACGCATGCACGCACACACACACACACATACACGCACACACACACAAAACGCATGCACGCACATATTCACATGCACGCACATATTCACACACACACATACGCACACACACACACACATGCACGCACACATACACATGCACACCTCGCACAGACGATGCTTCTGGTAGCTCTATGTCTGGCATGTCACGGTTCGCCCAAAAGGCGTGAAACTTGGACGCATCCTCAAACACCTGTGCTTGCGACGCGCCACTATCTGATACACAAACACACAACCACATGCACAACCACGAGAACATCAGCGACCTTATCAACCACCACATTCACACGTGCTCAAGTTGCCACCTGCTTCCAACAAGCACACACACACGCACGCACGCACATAACCATTCAAATACTCACACACACACACACACACACGCACACGCGCACACACTCCGTGAGGAACGCACTTGCTATGGCGGTCTCGGCAGCGGCAATCCACCTCTCGGGTAGCAAGACGGAGCCCACCGCAAACGATGTCACGGGTGCCAGCCACTTGGTCTTCTTCACCCGCCCAATCGTCTGCAGCATGGTCGTTTCTTGCTTGCTTGTGTCTCTTTGTCTTTTTTTTCGTTCTTGTTATTTTGTTGTTTGATTCCATGCACGTTGTCAACATGTGCTTCCATGCACATTGTAACGGGTTTATTGCACAATCTCCCATCAAATCAAACAGCCACAGACAAAGATGCTGCAGAACTCAGATGATGACAAAGGGGTGGTGTGTGTGCAGGTGCTTGAGAGATGGGATGCGGTGGAAGGTCCCTGGCTTGTGTGT